TTAGGTGACTTGTGAAAAGTATTACAACTTGCAAAATTTAATATAAAAAATAATACTTGAATAATATACTTACAAGTTGTTGGAAACACTCGTTCATACTTCCGATATTGGATCTATTTGAAAATTTTACTCTCACCCCACACTGTGAGTTCACTGTTTTTGCTCTCATCCCACACTGTGAGTTCCATCGCGGTTATTCAAAAAATCAGTAAGTTTCATAAGAACTTGCGTTTTTCGCATCGGGATTTGAAAATGTCCCTTACTTTAAGTTCATGAGTGGCCATTTTATTTTTCTCTATGTGCATTCAATTTTTTCTTTCTTCGTCCTCTATTTGCCTTGTTGATGTGTCTAGTATTTGATTTACTTTAAGACGTAGGATGTGGAAGATAATTTATTTTTAGGAAATTGGAATCTTATTGTTTGAAATTTTGGTAGATTTGTGCAATGTCAATGTAGCTTTTCTGGTGGCGAGCGCATATTGTCGGAAACTTGAAATCTAACTAAGGATGTAATACCAAGATGATGTTTCTTCTGTATTCTTAATCTTTTCATCTGGTATAGAATGACCTATTTTTAGGATTTTAGCTTGGTAATTCGCTACTTAGAAATTCCAGAAAGTATTTAGTAATTGGGAAAAATAAAATATGCATCATGTACATAAGGCTTTNACCCAGTATATTCCCAACAGGTTGGGGTCTGGGGGGTCAGTTGTACGCAGACCTTACCCTTGTAATTATACAAGGAGGCTGTTTCCGTAGCGACCCAAGGTGCATTGCGCCGTTTCATATATTTTTTTTTTTTCTAGAAACTTCACTAATAGAAGAAGCACTATAATTTAATTGAGTCATTTTGATCTAGTCCATTATTGGCATATTTAATTGAGTCATTTTGATCTAGTCCATTATTAGCACTATGCCAGGAGAATTGTCAACAATGACTCTTCCAGCTCCATTTTTTTTTCTTACAAATTTGCCAGAATTTTATGATATTGCTATTTTGGGTTGTTTTACTCATGAAACATGAATGTGTTAAATCCTGCTGGCATCAGAAATCAGTGGCTTCAGGGCTTAGATTTACTCATTTATCCCTGTTGTTAGTATCCGCTAATATAATCGGGTTAAGCTGATTTGAACTATGAAATGACTGTGTCTTTATTTTGCCTTACTATCCCTCTCATCTTGAGCTTTGGTAAGTTTCACTTAATTTCATAATATTCTACAGGAGACACAGCCCTCGTTCAATAATGTCCTCCAAAAGATTGTCTGGAAATGGCGGTTTTAACAGCCAGCCGTATAGTTTCAAGCACCGAAGGCTGAGCGCCATTCGGACTTTCCCAGAGAACTGTGGGCCCCACGCTACAATATCCCCAAAACCAAATGACGCTTGCGACTTGACATTTGAGCCCCCTTCCAATAAGATAAATAAAAGAGGAAGTGAAAAGTCGGCTAATAGCGCAAAGTATGCAATGGCAATACCAGCCGTGCCATTGAGATGTGTATCGCTGGTGAGTTTCGAAAATGACCCGAAAAATTCCGTGCCATATGGGAAAAATGATGATGGTCGGAAAAAAGGAGCTGATGAGAAGGAGAATAAGGTGTGTTCGCTTGACGAGTTGTGGAAGCAGGACTCGGACAAATTAGCAGCAATTGTTGCGGAGGCCAAAAGCTACTTGAATGCCTTTGATGTTAAGTGTTATGAGAAATCACCGGACTTGCATAGACGTTCGTCGATCGTGGAACCAAATCCTGAGTTTGTGGAACAAGAAAAAAGTGCGCACGGGAATTTTATAGAAAGCCCTATTGTGAAAGAAACTTCCGGATTAAAAAACAAGTCGGAAGATTACGAGGATGAAGTTTGCATTTTGTCACCCGAGGAGTGGAGCGAATTGTGTGTGCGTGAAAAGCTGAACTTTGGTGGAAACCGTGAAGGCATAAATCATGAGCCAATGGACACTAAAAGTGAAGAGGAAAAGAAGGACCACATTTCAACAAAATTGGAAGACTGCGCGCCATTCGAAGATAATGATCCTAAATACTGCGCTGGAAATTTGGAAGAATTAATCAATTTGAACATTGCGAAACGTGAGGAACCTAAGGGGCTCAAGGTGCGGGAGGTTTTGAGGTTGTTCGAAAAGAATTATAATGAACTCATGAATGATCGCAAAATTGAGCCAAAAGTGGGAAGGAAAAATGCTTACATCCATCTCGAGGCCGCAAATTGCCTTAAGATAAATGGTATGTACATTTCTCTCGAGAAGCCCTTTGGCCATGTGCCGGGCATTGAAATCGGTGATGAATTTCAATTTAGGTGCCAACTTGCAATGATTGGCCTTCATCGTCAATTAGTATCCGGAATAGATCATGTGATTCTCAATGGGAAGAAGTACGCAAATAGTGTTGTGGATTCAGGCCGCTATGAGAACACGTACAAAACAAATGATGTCTTGATTTACTCGGGCCAGGGTGGGAATGTAAAGACCACCGATAGCTCGGTCGATCAAAAGCTTGCGAGGGGGAATCTCGCCTTGATGAATAGCAAGAAGATGAAATATCCCATTAGAGTCACTTATAAAAGAAAGAGTCATGCATGCCCCGAGAGTGGGGTTGTGTATGTTTATGACGGGCTCTACATCATAAATAATGCATGGCAAGAGAAGGATCAAACGGGTAAGGTCGTGTTCCGGTTCGAATTGCACCGTTTGCCAGGCCAGTCGAGGCCTCACCAACAAGCCGAGGCAAAAATGAAGGTTTGCATGGTAGATGATATTTCCGGAGGAAAAGAGAAAATGCCGATACCGGCGGTGAACAACGTAGATGACATTAGGCTCCTCCCGAAGTTTTCCTACATCACCCAAATGGTGTATCCCGATTGGTTCAAGAAAGTTGAGCCCGTGGGTTGTGATTGCGTGAATGGATGCTCGGATTCCCACCAATGCCCTTGCCTTGTGAAAAATGGGGGCGAAATCCCATACAACGAAAACGGGTCTATTTTACGGAGAAAGCGTAGGGTTCATGAGTGTGGTCCCTTGTGCAAGTGCCCTCCCACTTGCATGAACCGAGTGAGTCAACACGGCCCGCTTTATCGATTGGAGATTTTCAAGACCGAGCTACGAGGTTGGGGCGTGCGGTCGCGTGATCTCATCCCGTCGGGTGGTTTTGTGTGTGAGTATTTGGGGGAGTTTTTATGCGAAAAAGAGGCGGACTTGAGAGTGGGTGGAGACGAGTATCTATTTGACATATATAATAGCCGTGGAGTGGGGGCGGATGGGTTTGCTATAGATGCGGGTGTGTATGGAAATGTTGGGAGGTTTATTAACCATAGTTGCTCGCCTAATATGTATGCGCAAGATGTTCTTTATGACCACGCGGACAATAAAATGCCGCGCATCATGTTTTTTGCGACCGAGGACATTTCCCCTCTTCAAGAGCTCACGTACGATTATAACTACAAGTTGGGGATGGTTTGTGATGCGAATGGGAATATTAAGACCAAGGTTTGCCATTGTGGTTCTCACGAGTGTCGTCGGAGGTTGTACTAGTAATGACCGGGTTCTNCATTCCACCATTTATAAGAGTCTTTACTAACATAGCCCTTGGGTTCATTTGGGTTTTGTTTTTGATTGAGTTGTTTAAGGTTGTATTGGTTTATGTTTGAGAAATGATATGTTTGGTTTGAAGATTATTGTGTTCTTTCTTAGATTTTTGAATTGTTATGTTGCTTACCTGTGCTGGGGTATTGAATGGTGTGGAAGTTTGTTTCCACATTTATAAAAATAAGTTCTTCTCTTCTTGTTGGGACTTGGGAGTGTGTGTGTTCTCTAGTTTAATTTCAGGTACATGATTGTGTTCGTCCTCGGATTATTCAGTTATGAAGGCAATCTTCCAGCCAATTGAGTTCCAAAAGCATTGAGCTTTATATGTGATACTAAGCAATACATATAGCAGGTATTCTCTTCCTATTTTCCTTTGACTGAGACAAATATGGTGTTCTTTCTGATCTTATAAATGTATCTATTAGGAGCATAAATCATGTTTGAACCAATACAATACACAAATTTTTATGTGAGACAACCTAATCGTTTATTCGTCATACTATCTGAACAGAAATACATATACTTAATTTTCAAAGTATAACATTTGATAATGAAACTATACACATTTGTAAAACTAGCATGTTCGCGTAATGGTTAAGCCGACCTAAAACAAAACAAACTGCAAACAATAATGAAAATGAAATTGGTTTCGAGGCTGTAAATGAGCCAGAGTGAGACTAAGGAATGGTTAAGTAAACTATTATTTTCCGCTCTTGGAAAAATTGGAGATTTAGTCTTGTAACTGACACTAAATGAGAAATAGTTATGATGATTGTGTTGATTTTACAAACACCGTGGAAAAAAACCTGACTTTTAGTCTTTCCATGGCAAAAGTCGGTCAATTTGACCGACTGCAGAATTAAATATGTTAGTTGACTGTCACATGAACAACAAAATAAATAAAAAATAATATCCACATCAGCAACCGGTCACAAGGAACCGGCTTTAGCCGACGGAAGGACCAAAAGTCAGTTTTTTTTCCTGGCATAGTGCTAATAATGGACTAGATCAAAATGGCTCAATTAAATCTAGTGCTTCTTCTATTAGTGAAGTTTCTAGAAAAAAAAAATATATCAAACTGCGCAATGCACCTTGGGTCGCTACGGAAACAGCCTCCTTGTATAATTACAAGGGTAAGGTCTGCGTACAACTGACCCCCCAGACCCCAACCTGTTGGGAATATACTGGGTATGTTGTTGTTGTTGTTGTTGTTGTTATATAATGTTTTGTAAAGTCAACACAATCAGCGGACAATTTCTCAATTAGGTGTCAGTTACAAGACTATATTTTCAATTTTTCCAACAGCTCCCATTGATGACTAACTAACCAACCTTAACTTTTAGGCTCGATAAACAAATGAAAAGGCCTTGTTCAAAAATTGATCTAACCAGCCTACACTTTTAGGCTCAACAAACAAATGAAAATGCCTTATTTGAAAATTGATCAAACTTTGCTCTTGCAACGTTCGGTTCGTTTGCATTTCCACTATTCATTAGCATATATCTGCCTGCCACCAACATCCACACATGAAATTTAGAAAAAACCCAACAACAAAGTTTTATTATGACCATAGGTATTACTCGTCCAGAACAAGCTGTGATAAATGTCCCTGCAACGGTAGAATTAACAGACTTAAAAGGTTTTAACAAGAAAAAACACAATTTCATCTATTTAACAAGACAATTTCATCAACAGTATGAATGAAACTGATTTCTTAATGTTAATCATAGTTATTAATTCTTTATCCTCAGCCATAGCAACGAATTGGGTCATTGCAGCCTTTCTCAGTTGACTGTCTGGAACCAAATCGGCCTCCCTTTGCGAGGTATTGTTGGTGATACTCTTCGGCTCTGTAGAATTTCTTGGCGGGCAGAATCTCAGTCATAATGTTTTTGTTCAAGACCTTTTGCTGCCTCTCCTTCGACTCGATTGCAGCTTTCTCTTGTTCTGCGGTGTAGAAGTAAATTCCGGATCTGTATTGAGTCCCAACGTCATTCCCCTGAATTTATACAAAGATTGTTAAATCTCATGGATAGTTTTTGTATTTAAGCCTAGAGGAACTTACTGCTTTAATCAGTAAGCCAACTAAAACTAATTCCTGAGTAAGCATATTTAGTCCACTCAAGAAACTAGAGATGTATGATATGCTACTCTAATGGTTTGAGTACAATAAACATCCAAAAATGCTACACTACATATAGCATCATTTATTTCCTTGCTCATACCCAACAAAAAATCACAGAGATCACAAATCAACACCCATACCAATCAAATGATAAACACTAAATCCCTAATATGTAAAAGCCCTTTTCAGCTCCAGCTCAAGATAAAGCAAAAAAACAAGATGTTGTGATGATAAGCCAACAAGATAAACATGATTGACATAAAAAACCAACCTAAAAAAGCAGCAGAAATATTATCACGAACTTGAAACTCCAAAATATCACATGAACAAAAGGTCAAACACACAAACTAAACTAAAAGGTTTTTTTCATCCACATAAACCAATAAAAGAGCAGGAAAACGAAAAGGGGGGAAAACCCACCTGGCGATTAAGAGTCGTCGGGTCGTGCCTCGCCCAGAAAACATCAAGCAGGGCATCAAACCCGCAATCTTCCGGGTCGTACTGCACCCGAACCACCTCCGAGTGTTTCGTGGTGCCCGAGCACACGTCCTCGTACGTCGGGTTGTGCACATAGCCCTGGGAGTACCCGACCTCGGTCTTGGTGACACCCGGCACCCTCTGGAAGGCCAATTCGACACCCCAGAAGCATCCCGCCCCGAATTGTGCGAATCGCTGACCGGCCGCCGGCGCGTCTCCGTCGGGGCCCTGTGCGATAGACGAGGAAGAAGAGGATCCGGCGGCGGAGGAGCGGCCTCCGAAGCCTAGCCAGTTGAGCCAGCTCATCCTTGGGGTGAAGGGTGTGAAGGTGAGGGTAGGGGGGTAATTGAAGGAGTTGGGGAAGGGTACTTTGGGTATAGAGGGAGGGTGTTTGAGGAGGGAGGAGGCGAAGACGAAGCTTTTGTAGATTAGTTTTGTGTTGCATGATATTGTAACTAAATGATTTGTTGATAGCTTATTTTACTAGCAGGATTGTAAACCGATCGAGTCGAACAAAACTTTTATGGAGTTCGTAGATAACTTCCTTATGTAGTTATTCGTAACTTGAAGCACTGACATTGGTTTAAAGTGTATTTTATTGTATGATATGTGTCCATAAATTATTTATAAATAATTGTAGATAATTTCCAGAGTCATGTCATTCGATGATTCTATAGCAAAATCGTCGAGTCGAATCCAATAATGACTTTACTAAGCTATCCATGATTTTTTGACACCTGATCGAGCTCGAGGTTCGACTCAATAAAAAATATAAACGCTCAAAATCAACTCGAATGTAATCGAATGCGGCTAAAAAAATGTATTAAAAATATTTTGTTTGTAGTGGCTCGTCGAGTGCTTAGATTTGCCACGAGCTAGAGTTTGAATTCGAAATGCTCTNAATTTTGGTGTTTTCCCATCTATAAAACAGTGTAACTTAATTCTAGTCCCCCAAAAATTAGTGAACACGAAATAATTCTCATAAAAAATAATAATAAATAAATAAAATGCAAAAAAGAGGCATGAATGGTAAGGCATGTACGTGGACTTCATCCACGCCAGTTACCCTCGCAGGTAGCGTTATAATAACTCACGTTTATTCCATCACACAATACATTTGACTTTGGCCCAATGAGCACACTAATATTATGTTATTTTACAATATAGTGGCATTAGCTCTACTGTTTCGTGTATATCCTATTGTTTTTCCAGCAATTGCATTTGTTCTAAAGTTTACAACTTGTTGCCTTTTCTACTCATTTAAAGTAGAGGACGACCACTGAGAACGAGGACATTTTCTTTTCCCGTTGAAGCATAACTCTATTAACATAGTCTAAAATAGTAATCATATCAAAACTATCAATAATTAGTCTCACCTCATCTTAATTTGCATGAAGGCGAGATGAAATGAACTCATTAACTAAAGAGAACAACTAGCATCACAGCACCAAACTTGGCACTGTAATCCCCACCATTACACTATCCACCTTAATCTGGATGACAAAAGACGAGCTGCAGGGATTACTAGTCCTGGAAAATCTGAAAGCAGGAAAAAACCGTTGCAAAACATGACCGAACTTTACATTTCCAAGATCAAAATATAAGCAGACTTGGGAAAGATGGCATGAAATTTAACATTGTCAACCGTAAGTAACATAACGAAAATAATCCAGATCAATGGCTTGATGCGCTGAAAATCCAATACCTATTAAATCAATTTTCTCAATAGGAAAATTAGCTAATACGGTCACGCGAGAAATACAACAGATTAAGGAGATATATGGCCGTTCAAATCAAAACAAACTACGACCAATTCACACAGACTCGAAAATGACCACCAAGAGAGAACTCGTAAAAGGCAGAAACTGGACAAATCTCATGTCTATGAAGAAAACCTACGTACTCTTCATATGGGTTTGATCTTGAAGTGCAATGAGATGAGTGAGAAAACAAAACATTTCAGATCCTGCAAAAATAAAGTCGACAATAATGATTCTCAGAAACCAGGTGAAATAAAAGCATAAATACTCAAATATGGAAACAACAGCACAGGCCGGGGAAAAAAAAAAAGTCATAATAGGAATAATATCATCTACCGTAAACAGAATCGACTTGCCAATACAATAAGAAGAATACTACAAAATACAAGTCTTTTCTAGGATATAATATAACAAAAATTAAAATGTACTCTATGTCTGATAAAAGCTGAATTGCATTGAAGTTCATCCTGCATTAAACGTCTTCAGAATTTTCTCAATAAGCTTATATGCTCATAGGCTATAGCACAATCATTCTCCTAGCTAATACTGATAATCACGCAGCATTGATCAAGGTGAGAATCCATGATCACCCCCTTATTACACATCATCTTTGTATGAATAACTTATGGTAAATATATTTGGTTCCCAGTAATTCCAATATCTTGGGAATTTATAGTTTAACATAATAATTGGTTATTTAAAACAGGATAGGTTTCACATTTCTAATGTAGTAAGGAACAAATATTAGACTTTCTGATGTCCAAATGAATAATCTTTGGGCCAGGTACTAAACTACCCGGCCCAAACATGCCCCATTGCCATCCCTACCTGATAACTTTTCCAGTATGTATCAAAGTACTAAGCCAAAAGAGATTACGAAACCCCATAAGAAAAAGGACACGACTGCTTCATGAAAAAAGCATATACAGAAGTTAGCCACATGAAAGCTGCAAGTCCTCTCTTTCTAGTTATTTTCTTACTGTTATGCTAATATACAAAAGATCAACCCAAGTTAAGGTCAGACCCAACTTAATTTAAACAAAAATTTATTTTTCTCATCTTGTTGTATTGCAGAAATAAATAACAGTTACCACAATAACTTCCAAACTTTTATATCCCTTCTTAATCTTATGTCCTCCAGGAGAATCAGCGTTTTAACGAGTCCCCCTATTCCAATCATATGCACCATACTAATCGAAAGAGTTCAAAGGGGTACTCATCAGGTACAATTCCAAATGATAACAGCAGCCCAAAATGTCAAGCAAAGCTACCTAAGGCAACCCTACACAGGAGATATCTTATCAATTCATCCAACAACAACAACAACATAGCCTTTAGTCCAAAGCAAGTCGGATCTTATCAATTCATCCAATTTGCTATATGTATTCTACTATTCTCAAGCCTCCATATACTAAATAAAGTAGATTTAAATCTACAAACAATCTTGAATCATCCCCCCAACAGAAAAAAAAAATAAATAAAAACTGAACACATAGAATATCTCACCCAACACAAGAACACAAGTAAGTCAAAGACAAGGCATAAAATATCAGATACTATCATCAAACAACCTCACATGTTAATAAGTACATTAAGACATGCACGCTATATACACCTTGCAAGTTGCTCCGTCAAAGAATGTTACGAATTTGTTTTGTAACCCATTCAGCCTGGCCGAAGTTACATAAATTCTCTTAACCTCAATTGTTAACTCAATTCATAACAGTTAATTCGAACCAAATTAATACATTTTTCCTGGAGAAATTGATACCACATTCATGAAGACAAAGTAACCAAGGGAAAGTTCCCAAGCGATGAGTCACAAACTCACAATTCACGTTGTAATAACAAATGAGAAAGGAGANCAAAAAAAAAAAAAAAAAAAACAAGTAAACAATGAAATCCACACCCAGAAACTATACCTGAACCAGATAGTAAAAGATTCTCAAACCCTCAGGGTCTTTACTAGACTGAACGTCCATGAGAGACCCAATCTTCGAAGTCGTGAAAGAAATGTGTTCATTACCCATCACGATTTCCAGCTCCTGCCTCCCCACGCGGTCCGGCTCCGGCCAATTGTTATCATCTTCTTTCATTATCTACACCAAAAACACAAAATATGCCAAAACCCTAACAATCGTAAAAAATTGGGGAATCCCAGAATCTAACCATACCTCAGAGTCGGCCACGATGCGGCGGCACTCCTTGAGGACGGCGGGCGTGAGAAACACCTCTTTGCGAATCATGGTGTCGTTCTTGTAGTTGGAGTTGTTGGCATATCGGAGCTTGCCGTCGGGTCGAAATTCGAATTCCAAGAACTCGTGCCCGAATTTCCCCTTGTGCCCTACGTAGTAACGCAGGTAGAACTCGTCATTGTCCTCCCCATCAGCCATTGTTGGTGTTTCAAGGTGTCTGCCTTTTCTGCTGCGTGCTGGGAATAGACGAAGGGTGTATTGCCTGTTTTAGCCTATTGTCTTGGTTTTCGAACTTTTGTTTGGGCTTTAGTCCACTTATGGGCTTGGGTATACTCAAGCCCATAAGTTATCATAACCGTGATTGGTTCAATTCTTATTTCATTATCAATTCTTATTTCATAATCTTAGATAATTGATATTTCATCTCCTGTTCCGAGTCGGTACGGGTTGAATCGGCTGGTTGAGGTAGCGTTGTGGCCACGTCTAGATTGACTGTTATTTAATTATATAAAGCTAAGTT